GCGGCAAAAGCACCTGCCTGGCAAGTGCAAGGCCGTGAGTTCGGTTCCCGGTACCGGAGAAAAACCCAAAAAAACCCAAAAAAACAAAACAAAACAAAAAAAATCCAAGAAAAAAAAGAACCTAAGCAATGTATTTGTACAGTTTCATTTGTAACTTGAGCAACTAGCAGTTATAAAAAGGGAATTAGAAAAAACTTGGAAGAAACAATGCTCTCAAATTTTCTAAATCTAATGAAAAAGACTCTCCAATGAAATTCAAAGTACCTCTGGTACAACAAATAACTGAAAACTCCCCCAAAGCCATTCCATAACCGAATGGCTCAAAACACGCAATAGAACCTGAGTGGGGGCACACACCTGTAATCTCAGCACTCTGAGATTACAAAATACCCTGAGATATCAAAAATACCCATCAAAAATACCAACACCAAGCAGAGTGGGAGGATCCACTCTGGGCAACTTCCTGATTTAGCAAAACCCTACTTCCAAATTAAAAAAAACAAAATTTAAACTGCTGTGGATGCACTTCAGTGCAAAAGTTCTAGGTTCAATCCCCAGTATAACTCCCTGAGCCAAAAGCAGCAACAGAAAAAGATTTTAAAGTAGCCAGAGGAAAAAAATACATCATAAAGAAAAAACCAAGGAAAAGAAATGACAACACACTAGTGAACTGGGAAGCAGAACCTTCCCCAGTTAAGAATATAGCTTTTTGGCTGTGGATATAGCTCAAGGGTATAAGTGCCTGCCTGGCAAGCATAAGGTCCTGAGTTCAATTCCCAGTACCAAAAAAAAAAAAAAAAAAAAATACAGCTTTTGAAATCACATTCTGGACCCTATGGCTGAAGCTTTGTAAGACCCTGTTAAAGCAGAGAAACCACATAGGCCATGATTACAGAGATCCTAACCCAAAGCAATTCTCAAATAATAAATGTGTATTCTTTATGTCACTATGCTTTTGATTAATTTTTATGCAAAAATACAGAACTGACAAAACAAGAAGTAAAGCTTACTTAGGAAATGTAAACTTTCAAAAATTCACCATATTAATAAAAGCTAGAAAAAAAAATAGTAATACCCAACATTCATTTCTGATTAAATTTTTTTAAACCTCTCAGCAAACTAAAAAGGAAATTTTCTCAACCTGCTAAAAAGAATCTACAAAAATATCTAAGCTACCATCATGCTTTGTGATTAAAGACTATTACTCCCTTAAAAAAGAAACAAGAATATATGATTTCATATCTTCTCTAATTCTTCATTAGAGAATCTATCCAGTAAGTGAGAAATAAAAAGCATCAAGTTTGAAAAGGTGTTACTTACATGCAGAAAACAAGGTTATATATGTAGGAAATTCAATGAAAGCTACAAAGAATTTCCAAGGACTAATCAATGTGTTTTTAATGGTCAGAGGATAACACCATTAATGGTCAGAGGATAAAAGATTGTAACACCATTAATGGTCAGAGGATAAAAGATTGTAACACCAAATATTTCCTAGGTATAACATATAAAACTTCTATACTAGCAACAATCAGGAATTGACATTTTTTTAAAAATACCAGCACCAAGCAAAAAAGTATTTAACACCAATACACTGAAATTACAAAACAGTGCTGTGAGAAATTATAGGACTGAGCATCTTTCCATTAATTAATGGAGAAATACTATCTTAAAATACTGAAAAGACTCATATCATGAAGATGTCAGTTCTCTCCAAATTGATCTATAAATTTAATTCAATGCCAATCAAAATTTTATCAACCTTTCTTGTAGAAACTGACAAGTTAATTCCAATATTCACATGAAAATACAAAGAATCTAAGTATCAAAAATACCCATCAAACAGAAGAACAAATTTGAAGAGCTAAAATCTCATACAATCAAGACAGATAAAGATACAACACTTAAAACAGTGTGGTACTGACAGAAAGACAAATACATGAATGGGACAGAACTGGTCCAGAAGCAAAACCTACACATGTATGACAACTGACACTTTACAAAGATACAGAGACATTTCAGTGGCAAACGAACAGTGCTGAAACAATTACTTATACACATGCACAAAATTAACGTTCAACCCTATCTCAGAAAATAAATGAACTTTGATTAATACATACCATATACAAAAAAATAGTATTAACTGAAAGTAGATCTTTAAGTATAAAAACCAAAACGTAAGACTTATGCAGAAAATATAGGACACAATCTTTGTGGTCCTTGTTTACACAAAGATTTCCTAGATATAACACCAAAAGCAAAATTCATAAAAAGGTAACACTGATAAATACTACTTCAGAAAAATTAAAATTTTCTACTTTTCAATAAAAAGACATACCACACAAAGAAAAATATCTGCAAAACACTGATCTTTAAAAAAAAAATCTTGTCCCAGGCACAATGGCTCACACACCTATCATCCCAGCAGTCAGGAGGCTGAGGCAAGAAGACTGCCCTGAGTCTGTGGTCAGCCTGAACTGCATTAGCAAGACTCAATAAACAAAAAGAAAAAAACTTGTATTCAGAATATATAACCTTTAAAACTTCAAAAATAGAAAACAAAGTTGAAGACAGTTTATAAAGAATGCTAAGCAAATTAAGCATGTGAAAAGATCTTAACAATCATTATTAATAATGAAACTGCACGATTAAACCACAAGAACACTATTAAAGTTTTGTTTTTATTTTTTATTCTCTTTAATAAATTTGATCAATTTATTTTGATCAATTTTGCATTCTTACATCTGTTAATCTCAGCAACTTCGCTGAAGATAAAAATATGTAACATAACAACCAATGGTAATTCCTATCATTTTGTTCTGAAACCCTGTATCATTCTTACTGTTTTGCTTTGTTTTGTTTTCGTCTATGTTGTTGATATTTTGCTACTGTTTTTATTATTATTATTATTCTCTCTAAAGTAAAAAATAAAGAATAAAATAAAATTGCTGAAACTAGAAAGCCTGATCATACCAAATATTGGCAAAGATGTGAAAAAACTTACTGATGACAGAAATATAAAATGTTGTAACTAGTATGGAAAATAGTTTGGCACTTTCTTAAAAAGTTAAGTCTATACTACCATATGAGGCCATTGTTCTCTTACCATTTACTCAAGAAAAGACATATACCCATGCAGATCATGTACTGAAATGTTCACGGCAGTTTCAGCTATAACCAAAATATGGTAACAAGTAAAGTGTCTATTAACAGGTGACTAGGTAAACAAAACTGTGGTCCATGCATACAATGAAAGAGTATTCATTTCAAAAGGAACACGTCACTGATACATCCAACAACACAATGAATCTCAAGACAATTATACTGAAAGAAAACACATGCACACAATACTGAACAATTTCACTTATATACAACTCTAGAAAAAAGAAACATCTATAGTAACAACAGATCACTGGTTGTCTAGGAAAAACAGAATGCTGTAATAGGTGAGGGATTAAAAAGCTATCCAAGAAATTTTGGGGGTGATGTTAATTTACTGATTATAATAATGAGTTCAAATATATAAACAGGTGAATATTTATCAACTTGTATGTTTTCAATATGCAAAATTTCTTATGTCAACTATATCTCAATAAAGTTTTTAAAAATGTGCATTGAGGCTGGGGTATAGCTCAGTGGTAGGGAACTTGCCTAGCATACACAAGGCCATGGGTTCACCCCCCACCCCCCCCGCAGCACAACACACACACACTCACAAAAATCTGCACAGAGGTTTTAAGTTTGGATAAAACTTTCACAAAGATCATACTATGCCAAGGAAAATATTATAAAATGAGTTTCATTATATTAAAACTCAGAGGCAAGAAAATTAGGACCACAGGACAAATCCAGTCATACCCATACATTTATGTGTCATTAGGCCTCTTTCCTTGCCACAAAAGAGTTAAGTAGCTGCAGAAGAAACCACACTATCTGCAAAGTCAAAATATTGATACAGGGCCAGGGATATGGCTCAACGGCACAGTACCTGCCTGGCAAGTGCAAGGTTCTGAGTTCAAGTCCCAGTACCATACACACACAAAAAAATATTGACACCTCTGACCCTCAATATTGCAGGAGATTATTTCTAGGACCCCCAAGGATACCAAAATCCACAGATGCTCAAGTTCCTTGTATAAAATGGCACAGTATTTGCATATAACCTGCTCACATCATCCCATGTACTTTAAATCATCTCTACTTACAATACCTGACACAAAGCAAACTTGTTATTCTGTATTGTTTAGGAATAAGGACAAGAAAGAAAAGTCTGCACATGTTCAGTACAGACCTAATTTTTTTAAAACATTTTCAATCTGAGATTGGTTGAATCCACAAATGTAGGGCCAAAGGATAAAGAAAGCCAACTGTACATTGCACATTTCAGAAAACGTTTTCTGACCTCTGCTATAAATCAGAGGTTACATGATCAGGGGCTTGCACTGTGAAATAATTTTTAAAGAGAAAGGCAAACGTGGTGACATAATCAGGAAGGTGCCTTTCCAAAATGCAAAATAAGCATAATGGCTTCCCATCTCCCCTATTATAGCACATGCCCACACATAGAGCCCTCCAGAAAACCTGCATTAGACCCAACATTCAATCAAAAATGTTTGGGGGAGAAAAAAAATGTGTCTGTATTGAACATCAACAGATATTTTTTCATTACTCCCCAAATAATGCAATACAGTAACTATTATATAATTTTATATTATATTAGGTATAATAAATATTAAGATGATTTCATGTAAGAGGATGTGGATAGATTATATGCAAATACCATGCCATTTTATATAAAGGTCTTGAACATCTATGCATTTATGAAAACTTAATCCCTCACAGATACCACAGATACTTAAGGACAACTACATTCCCTTGAATCTAGGAAACCGTATAACAAATGAAACAGGTAAATGTAAATGTGAAAATTTCAGTAACCCATTTTCCATAAACACTCATGTATATCTAAACCATCTACTTTCTGCTAAAGAAATCCTTACCGAATCTGTTCAGTCTGTACAATCCCTTCTTTATGACCCTCCAATCGAGCAGCCAATCTCTCTTTATCAAGGCGCACACACTCTTCATCCTGGAAATAATCACTAGGTAGTGAATATTCTAAATTTTTATTTAACATTTAGAAAGAAAAACAACTACATATAACTTCTCACCAAAACTGCTATCTATACATTCCACCAACTATTATTATACTTAGGTCAACATGAATATTAAGTTACACAAAGACAAGAATAAGTATGCACCTGATCATGCAAGACTGGAACTAACTAAAGAAGCTCTTCAATTTGTGATGGAATAACTACCTGATAATCCCATCACAAACTAAAAATATTGTAAGCCAAAACTGTGCTTCACACACCTAACCTGCCAAACACTGTAACTTAGCTTAATTTATTGTGCTGAGAAAACACATGTAACCCACAGGTGGGCAAAATAATGTAACACAAACCCCACTTAACTATAAAATGTTGGATATCTTTTGTAACTTATTGAATACTGCACTGAAAGTGACACATTTCCTCCTAACACATATATATTGCTTTTGCAACATCAAATAGTGAAAAAATTACCCAGAACCATCTATAAAAGCTTGCTTAGTACTTATTTCTAGGATGATGTTGTTCCCCTCACTAGTTATTCAAAAAGGTACCACACACAAAGCCTTTCTCTCTGAGAAAGCTTATAACTAAATTCTACAGGATGCATTCATCAAGAGTCAACAATTTCATTAAGGATCTAGATTTATTTTCAGCATCTGTTGTTACAGGTCCCAAGTCCAATAACACAAATCAAAACACTAGAAGTAAAACTTTAATGACTCTGAAAGCACATTCCTCAAAACATTAGACGTTTGCTACAAAATGACCTCTTCATTACTTCAAAATCTTATGTGATATTTAGCCTGATACCTTAGTAATACCTAATCTGTATTACTGATTTTAATAGGATGGCAAGAAAAACTTGGTTTGAAAGATGTGTGGCAGTATAAAAACAACTCTGTAACTCTGATCTAGTTCAATGCCCATATTCAACCAAAAAAAAAAGGAACAGAGTCAGTGTTAATGGCTAGTCAAATATAAACTATATAAAAAAAATAGTAGCATACTCAAGAGATTCAAAAAGGGGCCAGGGGTATAGCTCAGTGGCACAAGTGCTTGCCTGGCAGGCACAAGGTCCTGAGCTCGATTCCCAGTACCAAAAAAAAAAAAAAAAAATCAAGAGATTCAAAAAAAGGGCTGGGGATATAGCTCAGTGGCACAAGCACCAGCCTAGCAAGCGCAAGGTCCCGAGTTCAATTCCGAGTACCAAAAAAAAAAAAAAAAAAAAAAGATACAGGGGTCCAAATCACACCCAGACAACAATCTATCATTTAAAATTCCTGAAACAGACCCTTCAACTGAAATGAACAGAGTACTTTAGCAAATGCATTAATTTTTTTGCCATGTGTAATAAAGGTGTAATACTCAAATTCCTTAAGGAACCATTAATTTTAAAGACAATACAGTCTACATTTTCATCAAATCAAAATCCCTGTCTTCAAGGTTTCCTTTTCCTAGATAGTGCCTCTCAGGTCCTCAATATATGCATGTGGAAATCAAACTGCTTGGATAATATCATTGCTTATATAGTTCATTGTAACTCTATAAATGATCTGCAAAAACTTTTATGTACATTCTAATTTTTCTAGTTACTGGAATCCTAGAAACTTAGCCTAACACATTAAATTAAAAAAAAAAAAAATCAGACTCTGATGTCGATTTTTCTAAATAAATGGTATCCCTAAATTCACTGTGTCAATAGTGTGCCACAACCTCCGTCCATAAAAGGAGAACTGGCAAACATTTCAATTTTATTGCCACAAAACTGGTTCTTTGTACAGTGAAATGGCTAAGAACCAGATCTCCTTAGTTCTAATTCTGGCTCTGCTGGCCTCAGGGAATAATTTCTTTCTCATGGAGTCTCTGTTTACTCACAACCACCTGTAAGAAGTTGTGATGACTATGACATGAGTTAATATACATACTTACAGTATCACCAAGTACAGAGCACTAAGAATGGGCCATTTACCATTGTTTTTACTATTTAAAAAGTTTCAAGTTCATGTCTCTGAATGTACTTAATTAAAACTACATTACTGCAGCACCTAATTTTGTCACTGAGTCCACTGCATGTGCTTACCAACCAATCTCATCCCTTCAAGAATAATCTTTCTTATCCTTAATTGTGGATGCTTTGCTGTTTACATGCACTCAAAAAGTATCCACATATAACTATTTGATTCTGATATTAGTCTGAAATGAAAAAAATCAATGGTTTCTAGCACTGTTAATAATACTAGTGATGAAAACAAGTGTTATTTCTTTACTGTTATTTGATATATGACCAATTTCATCACGTGTCAGATTTAAAGTATGCCTCCATTTTTCAGGGAAGTTTATGTACTATATATATGTATACATACATATATATATATACACATACATATATGTGTATATATATATATATACATGTCACTGATATAAGTCATAATATAATCATGTAATTAAATTTCTAAGGTTAACAATCTTATTCAGTCTACTAGCTGATCAACAAATATTCTTTCTAAAGGTCACTGCATTTCTTTTTATAACTGGCCAAAATTGTGGATTATGAATAGTATTGTTTTTAACTATGTATATACATTGTTGCATGGCTCACTGAACTAATTTATATAGGTGTTACCAATGGTGAGCATCATCACATGCTTTATGAGAACACTTAATTCTAACAACAGAATACACAGTTACTAACAGGAGCCACCCTGTTGCCCAGTAAATCTTAAAGGCAACCAATTTTTTCGTCTGTTTTTGAGACAGTGTCTCACTACATAGTCCAGGCTGACTTTGAACTGGCGATAGTTAGGGTGGCCTCAAATTCTCAATCCTCTTGCCTCAGCCTCTCAAGTGCTGGGATTACAGGCATATGCCATCATGCCTAACTGATAACTGCATTTCTCATGTCACTTTTACTTCACACAAACTATTCCTATTTATCAATAATATTCTACTTTCTAGCTAAAATACAGCAAGAAATCTGGAATCCATGTCAGTATTTTAAGAAATATCTACGTATTACAAGCACTTCATGTACCCAGCTCTGAAAAATAAAGCAAACTGTGCATTACCTACCATATTCTAGGGATAAGCAAACTACAAACCAAAGACCAATTCTGGCCTTCATCAGTTTGCAAAGGAATGTAGTCCTGTCTGTTCATTTATGTGAAAGCATCTACGACTGCTTTCACATTTCAATCACAGAATAAAGTAACTGCAACAGAGTGTTAAGCCCAGGAAACCTAAAACATCGGCTATCTGGCCTTTTACAGAAAAGTTTTGTGATCCTTGAACTAGTCCAATACATTCACCAATAATATATATATAAACACAATAAAAATAATGGTTTGACAAAGCTTGTATAAATGAGAACTAACACTACAGCTCAAGCTACTTATTAATCAAGTTTTCTTTTCACCACAAAAAATTCCAGAAAGAGAAGTGCCTAGAATTACTACAAAGAATTATTAAAATACAACCCCAGTTTCAGAAACAATATAAATCATCTTTACAGTAAAGCTCTATTACCTCAATTCGTGGTTTCTTAGCTTCTGCTAAAACTTCATCTGCAGCTCGTTTGACTATAAGAAAAAGAGGAATAAATAAATGTACAGTTTTGGGATCAGTTTCTGAAAGTGTAAAATAAATATCTGACAAAGTGTACCTTGAGTAGATCGCTGAAGTCCTATTTCTAGGGGGGCACTTCTGTCTATACTTGCTGACGTTGCTGAAAATTTAAAAAAATTCACATTAGCAGATTAACAGTTGAACACATATACTGGATACTAGCAAAAGTAAAATGCTCAAGTTTTGTTACATTTTTTATTTCTGTATGGAGATTGCTTAAAACTTATTAAAAAATAAGTTTTAAAGCAGTTCTGTAATTTTATTAAAAAGATTCTATTAGTCCTTAAGACTATTTTTGACAAGTTAGCTTACAAATTACTGAGATGACATGACTGAAATAAACTGGTCATGTCATAACCCAACAACACAACACTTGCACATAAAAAAAATATCTAAAAAGGTAAATGTATGTACAAACACATATGAGGGCACATTTTCAAGTTAACACTCATATGAAATATGCAACTTTTACTTATTCACAAATGACTAAAAAACTTTCAATTATCTTTTAAATTATTCAATTTCTGAACAGTTCAAAATAATAAAACTATTAAGAGGTGTTCCTATCACATCCACCTAATTCTGATCATGCTATGAAAACAAGTTAAGTGTCCTGTATATCTTTCTAAAGTGTTTACTGGATACTATAAATAGTCATATTTTTATTTTTACTTTTTTTAAACAGAAAAAGTAGCATACTAACACAATGTTCACTTTTTTGCTTACCTTTCCATATTATTTACCATATCCCTCCACATTAGTATCTTTTCCTTAACTCTTTCTTTACCACTGTGAGATATTTACAGACTGATTATACTTTACTTAACTATTAACTAGTTCTCTATTGATGAGCAGTTCTAACAGTCTTTTGTCATTACAAAGAATGTAATGAGAGTGCAACTATTTATGTTACTTCATACATTTTCAATTATACCTCTGGGATAAAGTTCCACATGTAGGGTTTCGAGCCATATTTGTAGTAATAAAAGGCTGCAGATTTGTACCAACTGACACTATAATGAACAATACAGAATGTTTGCTCGTACTATCAAATTGACAGGTTTTTTAAAAATGTTCTTTGTATTACTTAAATGTGTAATATATTACTAAGGATATTAAGCATATTTACATATGAATTTGTCATCTTATCTCTGAACTATATAACTATAACTCATCATGTCATTGGTCGTTTCTGCATACATTTCCAGGACCATTTATATTAGGACCTTTTCCTATGAGTTAAATATGTCTTCCCAATTTGTCATGGAATACTTCTTTCTTATACTTTTATTTAACTACTAACTGAATAATTCCACCTTTCTCCCAGTGATCTGACATATCCCTTTCCCCCTTTTCAGATGTGCAATTCTAATCTAACAGGTAAAAAAAGTTTTATTACTATATCTCTTTATTATCAGTTTTAAAATTATCAGAGGTTTAAACTCTAAACTCTAGAAAGATGAGTGGTTCCTCATTGCTCTTCTAAACTATTAGAACACTCATTTTTCCTAAATGAATTTTAAATTTACCTTATCTATTTTTAGTTCTCAAGAAAAACTGTCTTTTTACTGAGATCATGTTAAACACATAAACTGGGTTAAAAGCTAATGTGTTTACACTGTTAGGACATGTCTAAGAATAAGAGCTTAATAAATGTTTCATTTTTTTCACTGAACAACTTTCACAAACTACCAACGCAACATACTTGATTAAATTTACTAATCCTATACAAACTACAGAACATGGCACGGATGGATAAACAGCAACTCTTTTTTGTAATCCAAAAAGAAAAAACTCTTAAGGTACTCCTCCCAAAATTAGCCTATTCATCAAGCTCACTTAAGGTGCTTAAAACTAAACAATCCCAGACCCTATATCAGATCTTTTAAAGCAAAACAAAAAAAACTTATTTTCAAAAGTCTACCATACAGTCTTCAGATTTTAAAAGCTGGGAAAATGGTACTCTAAAGAATTAAATTTGCTTTGATTCAAAAAAATACGTGAAATAATACCCTCCTCCTATCCTTCCCAACTTCATACCCTTTGCAAAATTGGGATCCCTGCTTAATCCTTTTCATGAGAATAAGTACATGTAGGATGGGGATTTTGCAGTTTGTGCAACACCCAGAATAATGCCTGAAAGAATAAGCATTCAATACGCAATTGCTGAATGAAGAAAACACTCCTGATAATGACTCTCCCATTATGCACCAGACTCCCTATGTAAATCAACCTTAGGGCTTACAACCATAGAGCAGAATATGTGGAAATACAGGTATTAATAACTTAAATGGAATAAATTCCACTCCAGGGAAGGTAAGACTGAACAGTTCTAGTACACCAATTTAGATATTTATACTCGGAAGACAGCAAATTAATAAATATTCATTTATTCGCTTAAAGACTTACTACGTACCACTCTTCTAAACGCTGGGGGTTAACAATGAATAAGACAAAGACTTACCCTATAGTGGAGAACAAATATAAAACTTCAAGTAAATGTATGAGATTTAATTAACTACAAATCAGGATGGCACTACACAGATGAGAGGGGGGATAGAGGGAAGAAATGAAATAAGTATCTGTATAGGTATAGATAACTATATAGATAGGTAAGATAGGTCTTTCTTGGTTTTTTGTTTGTTGTAGTGCTGGGGATTGACCCCGGCAGCTAGAGCACAGACTAAATGAGCACTCTGTTGCCTGAACTACACCCCCACCCTCTCCCTTCTCCTATTTTAAAATTTTGAGACCAGGTCTTGCTAAGCTGCCCAAGCTAGCCCTACCTGCAATCCTTCTACCTCTCAAGTAGCTGGGATTGCAAGCACAGCCCAACAAATCCCAACTTACTTTATAATTCAGGTCAGAGAAGTCTTCTTTAATAGAATATTGGAACAATATTAGAGCACAGATCTGAAGAAGACAGTAAGGAAATAAACCTGGTGACAATGCAGAGAAGCAGTACCAAGGGAGACTACAACTGCAAAGGCTCCAGGATTAGAAGAGCTAAAAGACCAATGAGACTGATGTGAGCAAAGGACAGTTGGTAGAAGATGAGCACAGAGATTAAGGCAAAAGCAAGATCAGGGAGGTCAGCACAAGCTTTATTGTAAGTGACAGAAAGCCACAAATGGCCTTGAACTTGTAAGTGACACAGTCGAGTTTACACGCCTTTTCAAAAACTACCAGTCTTAACTGCTAGCGCAGACTACACTGTATAAAATAAAGAGTAGAAACCTGAGAGGAGCAAATATAGACTAGTTCACAACAGAAAGGCAAAAAGTTGTAAAAGTTTTAAAGACAGAGAAAAGGACCTTCCCATGGAATAGAAGTGAGATGTGAGAGAATGCCTAACCAAAGGCACCGAGTACCATTACTAAGACAAAAGAAAAAACACAATGTTCTTATTCTGTGTGAGGTATGAGAAGGAAGGAGTGAACTGCACATTCTATTTTGTTTATGTTAAACTTCAGATGACTATTAAAGATCCAGACAAAAATGATGGCAGTGAATTTATTAATCTGCAGCTCAGGAAGAAAGCAAAAACACAGCTGGCCCTTGACCAACACAGGGGCAGGTGCACTGACTCCTTCCCAAGTTGAAAATCTATATATAAAGTTGACCCCCAAAAAACTTTTAACTACAAATGGCCTATTGTTTACTGGAAGCCTTACAAATAACACAATCAATTAACACATATTTTATATGCTATACGTTTTGGTGAAAAATATAAAAGAACCAGGAGAGAACACATTTTACTACAATATGCCATGTACCACAGATGTGATCTACTCACAATGATATGACTGTCGTTAGAAAGCACTTTCTGCAGATATGTGCAACCTGAGCTCACCACAACAGCAACAGGAGGCAGCTCTGAAATTACTAAGGACTACAGCTAATTTTAAGGAGTTACAATTTAATACTACATCTTTAGTTTTCTCTCAACTGTGAATGGCACTACCAGTGCTCTGTATGTAAGTTCTGATAAATTTTCAACTTTTAAAAATAGACGTGTATATCTTGTGGTAGGTGATAAAATAGACCATTTACATATACTTTATGAATTCATGATGTATCTTCGTATTTTTTTCAGTACTTCCAGTTCATCTGTGAGTTTTTCCAATTATCACACATCTCCAAATAAGAAAAAAATATCAGTGGACCTAAGCAGACCAAAAACATTTGTTTGAGGATCAATGATGTTTTGAATCCATAAGAATGTATGTGATATTTAAAGCATAAAACTAGAAAAGGTAACCTACAGATTTAGGGTTAGAAGAGAAAAGAAAGTGAAGTTACAGGGAACTACAATTAGAGGGCAGATACAGAGGTAACAAAAATAGGTAGATTATGAGATTATGAGAGGGAGATTATGAGAGAACAGAGCCAAGAGTGAAGTGAAGGCTTTCAAATGAGCGAGTGTTTGCCAGGTAATCCCAGCACTTGGGAGGTTATTGCAGGAGGACTGCTGTGAGTTTGACGCCAACATGGGCTACACAGTCAATTCAAAGCCAGCCTCAACTACACAGTGAGACTCTGTCTTAGAAAATAAAAGGGGGCTGGTGGTCAACAGTAGCAAATACTGTTGCCCAGACAGGGAAGGTAAGAGAGACCAAAGGATGTAGCAAATTACTACTGACTTTACAAAAGAATGATTTTAATAGGATAGTGAAGATGAAAGCCAAATTGGAAGAAGCTTCAAGAATTATAGGTTAAAAAAAAAAAACATAGGTTAAAAAAGAAGCAGTACTATAACATCAACTTGCAAAGAATTTTATAATAACAAGCAGAAGACACATGGAGCAGTAGATATCAGGAATGTGGAGTCAAATACAGCTTTTAAAGACAAAATATCTTACTGCATGTACTCTAAAAGATAACGATGCACAAGAAAGAAGACTGACACAGCAGGTCAGAAATAGCACTTTAAGGAAGTAGTCTTTTGGTTTTTTTTTGTTTTTTTTTTTTTGGTTTTTCTCCGGTACCGGGAACCGAACTCACGACCTTGAGCTTGCCAGGCAGGCTCTTTGCCGCTGAGCTAAATCCCCAGCCCCAGGAAGTAGTCTTTGAAGTGTGAAAACAATCCCCATAGAGGAAGGGGTAACTAGCCTTAGGGTCAGACAGTATATTCACCATAACTAGAAAAAAGAACATGTGGACACAGCTGCAGTCTAGGTAATTTTTTAGTGGGAATATAAATTCTCTTCCTGCTACTTTTTATTCTGTCGTATCGTAAAGCAAAATTAACAAAAAAAAATAGGAAACAATGTCTAATTAAGAGTGGGCCAGGCATGGTGGCACACACCTGTAATTCTAGCACTGGGGAGAGCGTGGAGGGAGGACTTCAAGTTCAAGGCCAGCCTGGGTTACACAGTGTGTAGAAAATGTGTAAGGTAGAGAGTACTCACAGGCTTCACCATTGAGATATCCCAGTAGGTCCTTCCGGTCAGGTCTTCTGACCACAGGAATATTTTCAGTCTGAAACCAAAATGTTTTTAAAAAGAAAAAATATGAGATATTAAATGGCTAACAACTACATTAAGCTTAATAAATATATCATCTGAATTTATTCCAACATACTTTGGTAACATGTATTTAAAAATCACATTTGTAAAAAATGTTAGGCCAAAAACTTAAGAACCTTTAAAATTATGTTGTTAAATTTTAGCAATTTTAGGGGCTGGGGATTTAGCTCAGCAGCAAAGCGCCTGCCTGGCAAGCGCAAGGTTGTGAGTTCGGTTCCTGGTACCGGAGAAAAACCAATAAATAAATAAATAATAAATAAATTTTAGCAATTTTACTTTTGAAATGGCAGGAAGATGTACTACAGATAATTATTAGAAATAAAGCAATAATTCTATTCCTTTTCATCATGTTTTAATTGCACTCATGACAGTATGCACATGTGAGATCAGTACTGTTCAGTCCTGTCCTTTCTCACTTTATGCAATATCTCCACAGGGCTTTCTTTTCTCACACACAAATAAGACCTTTTCAAAATACTCCACTTGAACTCCACCAAATAAACTAAAGTAAGTACTAAAACTAAATACTGATAATTAACAACATGTACATGGTACATGTTGTTTAGGCACGAGAAAAATTACAGATTATCCAGGAAAATCTTAGTGGCAATTGTTTACCTTCTATATTATGCATTTCTTTTTATCGAAGTGTGTATACATTCTGTAAGCACTAGGAAAAGAGTAAAAAAATTAAATCTGAAAATAATATCCGTTTTAGAGAAATGGGTAATTTTCCTTTAATTATCTATATTAGCAAGCTGCAAAGTAGTGAGCAAAATAAAACTGTATACTCTGGGTACCATGTCATCTTTTGGAGCAGAATTCAACGAATCCTGTCATTACTACAATTTTCCGTGTTATTTTTCTAATGCAAACAGAGTGTAAGAAAACTGGTAGCCAAGGGATTACACAGTTCAAATCCTTTGTCATCCTACGTGAGCAACAATAAATAAGAACCTTATCAGTGGCCAATTATCTCATCATAAATACTGATTACATGTCCCTATAACCAACATTCTACACTTACTCCTTGATGACTTCACTAAACTTTATCTTTGCCTGTCTGTCTGTCTGTGTGTGCGTATTTTCTTTTCCTTTTTTTGGTAGTACAGAGGATTTAACCCAGAGCTTTTGCACTGAGCTACATTCCCAGCCTTTTTTTTGACTTTGAAACACGCCCCACCAAGTTGCTAAGTTGCCCAGGCTGGGCTCACACTTTCAGCAATCCTCCAGCTTTAGCTTCCGACAGTGCTGGGATTACAGATGCGTGCTGCCATATCCAGCTAACTGAACTGTATTTAGTCACTTAAAAATTAATCTTTTACTTCTGAAAAAGTCAAACCTAATTTGTTTCTTCTTATAATTTTAAAAGCCCAAAAGTTGTTTGTGTGTGTGTGCAGCTTATTTTAAACTAGTTCACATGGAATACTATAGTTAAAATATTGAATTATTTTTCTTTAAATTACTAAGTCTAACAATATACTTCATTTGGACACTCCTACATTACAGACACATCTAGCCAACTGAAAAAGGTATAAGGCTACTCATTCTAAAATAATAGTTATGGATCAAGAGTATCTGTTTACAAACAGTTTGCTCACAACAAATAGCAATTAACACAAAGGAATTAGAACAACCTCAAATTTGTAGAATCCTGGAATTTTACAACTGTCCCTCTTTAATTCGGCAAATATTTAAGAAAAGAGTTAAATCTAACGTGACCAAAGGTCCTGAGGTCCACAGAGCAATTATAGCCATTAGTTATGTGGTACAACCACCCTACAAGAACGTAATTTATAATCTAAACCAAGTACTTAAATTACCTTAATTATCCCCCAAACAGCTGCATCTAACAGAACATTCTAATTACTGCCTAATTCAGTTTTTAAATATCTTATGTGAGGTAAGATAACTTTACAGAGAGGCCACTATTTTTTCCCACTATGTCCCAAGTTGTTTCATACCAATTTTATTTAACAGTAAGTGTATTTCTTGCTCAAAAAGCAGAGTTCTACAGTTTAATACTTACAAAACTCATTTAGAAGGTAGAATACCTTCTCAACTGCTTTAAGTGACAAGGCATTGTTTAAAAGACACCTCAGTTAAGCTGGTAACCTTGACTATTACTACTAACAAGGAAGGAAGGAAAGATTGTAAAAATGAATTTCAGATGGCTTAATGCAAGCAAGCCGAAGTGTTAGATAACTCAAAAGATAATTGCAGTGCTGACAGACACAATGTTTGTGAAAAACTAAAAAAAAAAAAATTTTTAAAAACTGAAAGAAAAAGTATTTACAAGTTAATATAGCTCAATAAAGTAGGTTTTCATAAGTTAAAGCAAAAATTACTAAAAACAAATACTAAAAACAAATCCAATGTGTAGTACTGAACTGCACAGTGAAATCCTGTCTCAAAAGTGATTTAAAAAAAAAAAAAAACCAGACTCCATCCACAGGCTCTTTAAAATTTGGCTATGTCATTATCTCCCAAAATATTGTTATCAACAGATGTAAAAATTTGTATAAATCTCAGAGTAACCTAATTTTGACCCTCCAGGAGACATTTATACATTTTAAAACCATGAGAGACGTTACTCATGTCGAACAGTATCGATGACGTTTAAAAACAATTTTTAAAAACGCTGTTTTTTATGAACAGCTCTACAAAAAAGAAATCGAGGGCCTCATTTAAAAAAATTAAACATCCTTTGGAGGCATTTTATCTGGGTATTCATGGCAATTCCAATGTAAAACAGTGACTGCACCCAAAAAACCCTGAAGCCTACTTACTCAAATACAATATAATCTGTCTTTCTACATAAGGAAAAATATCACCATGAGTGATAAATGTTCAAACACTGAGAAAGCAGGCAAAACTGAAAACAAATCAAGATGATACGAAAATAACTGTTAAATTTATTGAAGTTAAAAGGTATGTACATATTGGTATTAATTTGTAGAAAAATTTCTTGAGATCTGACTAGAGTTCTTAAAAAATAAAATCCTGCCCGACATAGTGGTGCATGGCTGTAATCCCAGCTGGAGACTGAGGCAGGATGACTACTGAGAGTTCAAAGCCAGTCTGGGCTACAGAGTTAGTTCAAGGCCACCCTGAACTGCACAGTGAAATCCTGTCTCAAAAGTGATTAAAAAAAAAAAAAAAAAAAAACCAGACTCCATCCATAGGCTTTTTTTTAAAACACCTTCATAAATTCTTTTCAAACTTCCACTGTAGCTAAGCACAGTGGTATACATGTGTATTCTCACCTACTTGGGAGGCTAAGGCAAGAGTATCTCAAGCTCAATGCCAGCAATTTAGGGAGACTCTGACTCAAAATTTTAAATGGGGGGGGGCCTTCCATTGTTATAAACACATGTAAAAATTTGTATAAATCTCAGAGTAGCCTAATTTTGACCCTCCAGGAGACATTCATATATTTTAAAACCATGAGAGAGGTTACTCATGTCGAACAGTATCGATAAAATTTAAAAACAATTAAAATGAGTTCTACTTACAGCTGCGCGTCGGACATAAACGGGATGAGAAAGGTGCACATTATTAAGCAGAAATAAGATGGAATCCAATGTATAGTACTCTCTGGGTTGTCCTTCCTTTCCAGTCCTGAAATAACAAAGGCAAGATTTTTATTCACATTTTAAATTCAATTACTTGGGCTTAGTTAGATGTATTCACTTATCTATACCCACTTGTCTATCCAACAATGTACTTAATATGCACATAGGGTTAAAAATCTAACAATATGTAGGCTGTTATTATGGCAAAAAAGAAAGGAAAACAATAAAATGCAAGAAGTAAGAAAAACACAAATCCCTACTCTAAAATACTCTATATACCTTTTAGAATTAGGCTCTGGGCTTTTTCAATTGAGGAAGAAACCTAACCAGTTACAGACTGAAGAGATCTTTAAAATAGTCAATCTAGCCGAACGTGGTGGCACATGCCTGTAATCCCAGCACTCAGGAGGCTGAGGCAGGAGGATCACTGTGAGTTCCAGACAAGCCTGAGCTACAAAGTGAGCTCAAAGCCAGCCTGAACTGCAGAGCAAGATTTGTTTGTTACTTATTTTGTCTCAAAAAGACAAAATAAACAAATAAATAAATAAAATAAAATAATGAATCTGCCTAGGATGAGTACAATTACCATCATTACTGAACTCAGAAAAAGTTTACCCGTGGCTCTAACAAAGACAAGATCACTAAACATCCTTCATAACATTATTCTCAGGGAATACAACGCATTTCAGAAGTAGAGCCTCCCTCAATGGGATGGCAGGACTGAGCTGCAAGCTTTTGCCTTTTGTTTTTGTTTTTGACACAGGAAATCTCTAAATTGCTCAGACTGGGCTCAAACTTGTGCTCCTCCTGGGTCAGCATCCCAAAGTGCTGGGATTACAGGTGTGCGCCACTATGTCCAGCTAGGAATATGATTCTTGTAACATCTCCCAAATTACACCAAACAGGCCAAATGGAAATACAATTCTACCTGTAATAAAGCAATGTATCTTAAGGGGTACAAATGCTCTAATGCAAGCATAGGTTACTCAGTACAACCCCACTCTTTCCCCTACAATTTACCCCCCATAATTTCAATCTATTATTTCAATTCATGTGAATACCACCCATTTTAATGGGCCCCAAATCTACTTTTGTAGCCCCTATTACCATTGTCCCCTTAAATGAATGTATTTCAAACCACAAATCACATCCAGTATTGTACAAAGAAATTCAATATAACTACTGTCAGTGTGTTGGGTGTGGCGGTGCACACCTGTAATCCCAGCACTTGGGAGGTTGAGGCTGGAGGACAGCCGTAAATGCAAAGCCAGCCTAGACTACATAGTAGGTACAAGGCAAGCCTGAACTACATAGCAAGACTCTGTTTCAAAAGACACACACAGACACACACATATATAGAGTGTCACACATACACACACACTATATATATATAGTGTGTATGTATGTCCAGGTTTTTACGTATGATATACAAAAAAACAGGAAAGTAACAATGCCATACATGCAATAAGGGTAAGTATTATTGAACGTTTCATATATATATAGCACAAACACACACACAAGCACCTCATGTGAAAATAATCCCTCAATGTGATTCACTGTTGAAAAAGTTTGCAGTCTATTCTAAGCATTCCTTTTTTCACTGGCTAAAATGAACTGCTGTCAAAATATGTTCCTCCAGCCCCTTTGCCTTGAGGTACACAGTTCCGTCCTCTTGGAAGACTAATTCACCGTTTCATTCACACAATTCTTAGCCATTCTTTAACACTTATTCATTCACTGAAGAAAACTCTGTAGGATGCAAACATGTCAAACACAATTCTATGGAATCTTCTCTAAATACCCCCAAATAGAAGTAACTGGTGTCTTCTCACAAGCCTGAAAACACGCCACATCATGTCATCTGTTTTAGCTATTCTAGTCGGATTAAATTATCCTGTTTTGAGGCAGGAGCCAGGATCTTAGGAATTCTTCTACGTCTCAGATCAAACCACATTACACCTTGAGTACTCTAACCAATTTTTAAAGGACAACATACATTAAAAATTCAAACAAATATAACTGTGTCTATGCAATTTCTTTGAAAGAGGAAAACACAGGAAACTCAAAATGTCAATTAACATTTCGTTAAGCAAATTAAGTTATAAAGCAAAAAAAAAAACCTAAAAAATTTCCCAGTTTTTCATCACTCTTCACAAACCTCATTCCATTCAATAAAACAAAACAAGTAGTAAAGTTCTGGTCCGAGGTTCTAATTACTCAAAGAAAGCACAGTAGCATTATTAAGGACAGTAACATTATTAATAAAGCCCCAAATGTTTATTAAACCAAATTTTTTTTTTTTTTTTTTTTTTGGTCTTTTTGAGACAGGGTCTCATTATGCAGTTCAGGCTGGTCTCGAACTCGCAACGATCCTACTGCCTCAGCCTCCCAAGTGCTGGGATTACAGGCGTGCGCCTCCACACCCAGCTAAACCAAATAATTATTAAACCTAGATGTTTTCCAGAATGACTTAAATCACAAAACCCCACGTGGATCAACACTCCAGAACACTTCTTTCTAGAAACACTTTCCAAAAGCACAAACCACCAATTTCTTAGACCCGTAAAGCGCATTCACTTTCACCGATAACTTTTTGCCTGAGAAACTCCGGCTTTCACTTTTTAATGCCGATTGTGATAACTTCCAAATCCAACAAATCTTTTACCCGTCCTGGCTTCACGAACTTAGCCCCTTCTCTCTCCTGGAGGAATAACATCTTCCCCATTAGGGAAGGACAAGAAATTGACCAGGAGCTGGCAGGGTCAGCGGAGGCAGTTACAACACAGGGCAGAAGAGAGCAAAAATGAAATGCAACAAGAGGCGTCGCCAGCAGAGCTCGGTGCGCGCCTTTGTGCACCTACGTCCAGGTGTGCTGCGCACCAGCGCTGCGGACCGCGGGCGCCCGGTACATGCTGGGAAACACGAACTGGTAAAGCCAGAAATCCCCATGCCACCCTTCCGTCCGGCTTCTCAAAGACTTACAGGGACGGACTGCTTCAGATCCCCCCCTTCCCTGCTCACCCCAGAAGTGCAACTTCTGCAGAGAAACTTTTCCCCAGAGCACCCATATTTCTCCCCCATCCCCAAGGGAAACAGGGGGAGGGGTTTTTTTAAAAAGGTCGCCTGGGGGCGCCCAACTCTGCCCTGACACCTTTAGGCCAAAGCCATCCCGGACTCACCCCCAAACTACATAGTTGGTCTTCACATTCTTGGGCCAGGAGAACTCCCCGAAGATCACTTCGTCTCCCTTCACCACAATCTCCTTCTTCTGGATGTTGTACTGTCGCAGGACG